TTATAGAAGCTAAACAAACCCCAGATACCTGCTTTCAGTAGGCTGTGGCCTCAGAGCTGGGAGCACCAGTGACGGCAACAATGTTTCAATTATAGAAGGTAAATAAATCCCAGAATAAAAAAAAGAAAGAAAAAAAGGAGAGGCTGGGAGCTTCAGTCGCCAGCCAGCCTGAGAACGGCCTTCAACCCCTCACCCAGACTGGCCAGGCACCCCAATGGGAACCCCCACCCTAAAGGGGGTGTGGCCAGCCTGAAAACAGCCATCAGCCCCTCACCCAGGCTGGCCAGGCACCCAAGCGGGACCCCCACCCTGTTCCGGGACACCCTTCAGGGCAAACCAGCCGGCCCCCACCAGTGCACCAGGCCTCTGTCCTATATAGTAAAAGGGTAATATGCAAACTGACCCTAACAGCAGAAAGACTGGGAATGACTGGTCACTATGACACACACTGACTACCAGGGGGCAGACACTAAATGCAGGAGCTGCCCTCTGGTGGTCAGTGCGCTCCCACATGGGGGAGCTCTGCTCAGCCACAAGCCAGGCTGATGGCTGCCAGTACAGCGGTGGTGGTGGGAGCCTCTCCTGCCCCCTCAGCAGCGCTAAGGATGTCCGATTGCAGCTTAGGTCTGCTCCCCGCTGGCAAGTGGACATCCCCTGAGGGCTTCCGGGCTGCCAGAGGGATGTTTGACTGCCAGCTTAGGCCCAATCCCCCGGGGAGCAGGCCTAAGCCAGCAGGTGGTCATCCCCCGAGGGGTCCCAGACTGCAAGAGGGCACAGGCCGGGCTGAAGGACACCCCCCCCCAGCCCCGAGTGCACAAATTTTTGTGCACCGGACCTCTAGTGTTAATATAATAACAGATACCATTTCTGAGAATTTATACCCACCAGTCACTGCTTACACATTATCCTATTTAACTTTCCCAAGAACCTATTGCACCTGTAGTTTATAGGTGAGAACACTGAGGATGTTGCTTGTCCAAAGCTACGTAGATAGAACGTGGCTGAATGGGACAATAATCCTGTTTACCTCAAGAGTTGGACCAGTGACAGAATATGCAGGGCCCAATGCTAAATATAAGCGTGGGGTCCCATCTTCAAAAGTTATTAAGAATTTCAAGATAAAAGCAGCAGATGATTAAGCCACATATGGGGCCTTTCTGAGCACAGGGCCTGTGTGACTGCACAGGTTGCACACCCAGAAAGGTGGTCCTACTCCAGAGGTTCTAGTAACAGTTAAATAAGGTACTATAATAATAAAAGAAAATACCTTCTATAACACATTCCGTGCCAGGTATTTTTCTAGTTGCTTTATAAACATTAATGTCATGGTCATGGAAATCCTGTAAGCTAGGTAGCTTTCTTATCATCCTTATTTTACAGACAAGATGACAAAGGCACAGAGAGGTTAATTAACTTCACCAAGGTCACAACTGCTCAGCAGCAGAGCTGGGACTTAAACCCAAAGGGTCTGGCTCCAGAGCTCGTGCTTTAACCATGACACTGGCACACGTAAAGTGCTCCATGTGGCCAGGCGTGCACACTGCTTGGGAAAGGTCTACAATTATTGTTGGTTTGACCAAGGCCTGTGGTGTTAACAATTTTGTTATATTCCCTGGTCACATCAGAACTAAATATTTCATT